TCAGCCTTAGTCCTGGCTAAGAACTGAACACATTTTGCACATTTTTTGTATGATGCGACTTGTAACATCAACACTGACATTGCCTGAAATGAAAAGGATTGTTTTTGTCTCTGTGTTTCCTGAAATCACTCTGTTTCTAGTCAGCTATTACTCGTTAGGATGAGTATTGTCTTGAATTGGTTGTTCGTGTGCAAAACTGCAGCAAATGGTCCCGTGTTTTCACAGGGAACCGTGGCTCTGACCAAAGACCAGAGAAGATTTGAAGCATCTGTAATGTATGTTTTAGATTTTTCAGCCTCTTACAGTTTTGGAGCAGGCAAACATTTTAAACAGGGAGTAAACATTTGGACAGGCTGTGCAGTGGCAGCCAGTCTCTGTGTTTGTGCCTATTTTTGAGCGTTAAAAAATAAGTTCACATTTCTATTGCTTACATGTCTATATATTTGAAGTTCAGTGTCTTTTGTAACACAAGTAAGCAGTTCTGACTTATTTGTCTCTCTGTAACATTATATCTGCCTGAAGTCCAAAATAATGTGAAACCACCACACCACCACCACTTTAATTGTTACATATACTTTATTTTTTTTTATCAAAGAAACACAGCAGCTGCTTATGGAGTAAGCAGTTATTTTTATAAACCCAGCACAAGAGTTCTACAAAAGGCTCAGGTGGCTTTAAAACATGTCCCTGAAGGCAGGCAGGACTCAGTTCGCTCAGAAAAATAGGGTGGCATATAGGTGTTTCAGTCGGGGGAAAAGGGCATATCTCCCAGAACACAAAGTCCATTTTTTTTGTTTTAGTGTCAGTAATTTGGCTTTCTGGAGGACACAAAAAGTTTTGATGGGACTCAAATAGATCTCTCAAAGCAACATTTAGGAAAATTATTGCAAGTGTAGAATAATTATTGGGTTTTCTGGTATGCGATAGGGGTGAATGTGGTCCTGCAGTGATCATTTCGCTATGGCTCCTTTAGTTCTTGTGCACACCCCAGTTGATAAGGTAATTTATCTGAATTAAATGGGTTTTAGTGACGCCTCCGTCGCAGTGCTTCACACGAGAATTCTGTCCTCTGTTTTGTTGTACTGCACCCGGCATGGATTGTACGATATGGAATGTCTCAGGGAACATGTTGACATTTGGGATAAGGATTAGGAAGTCTCCATAAAGGAGTGCCTCTGCTGTGTGTCACCGTTGCTGTTGACTTTGCACTCAGATTGAGTCTTGTGTTGCAGGACTGAGCAGAGCCCCGTGGCTGCCGGCTCCTTTATACTTTTCAATTCACCGCTGAGCTGGAGCCAAAGACTTGGATCCGTGTGGATTACACTGGAAGTTCAAACTCCCTGTCAGTCTACATGAGGCCTCTTTACTTTCTTCTCGGATCTGTGCCAACTGTAGCTTTAGCTTGCACTGTAATTGAATTAATTCTTGTGATCTGCATTTTCACTTTGGCTTGCAGGTTTTTATAGTGGAACAGATAAGTACTTTGTGAGAATACGTGATTTAATTTTGATTTACGCAGACAGCTACCTCTGAAACTCTGGCTCTTCCACTTTTTCCTCTTCCACACTCCCTCCACCTTTCTCCAACTCTCTCCCGTCTCTTCGGCAATCATGTCCTTCCTTGCTTTTCTCCATCTCAACCTCCATCTAATCTACTGCAGTGACCTGAAGGAGGGCTTCACACTGCAGTGCTCAAATAATAATCAAGCACTAGGATGTTGTCAAATTTATAGGACACTGAGCGTTGCATGGCAACAGAGATTGTCAGGGTGATTCAACAGACACTGGAGGTTGGGTGAAGAAAGAAAAAGGCTAAATGACAGAAAACAGGGGAAGGTAGGTGAGGTAACAAGAAAAGCAGCAGACAGGAGAGAAGAAGGGAATCGGAATTTAAAAAAAAAAACAATCACATTCACAGAAGGAGGGATTAATAACTGAGCAAAAAGCACATAATGAAATAAAGTTGAAGTTGCCTTTGCCATAAACTGATTCACAGACGGCAACTACTTCTCTGTGGTAAGTAATGCATGCTTTATTTTTTTGTCAAGTTTACTCTAACCCCATGGATATTTTTACTTTGAAATTTTACACAAATGGAAAAATCTAATTTCTAATTAATTTCATTCTGACTAATGTCTTTATTTCAGAACTATCACACTGTCTGTTTTGACTGACAGTCAAATCTTTCGGTCACTGTAATGAAGCCCAAATTTCATTTTTCATTTTATATTTCATCCTTGTTGCCTAGTGACTGCAGCACTTTTCACCTTTCTTGAGGCATTCTAATCATCATGAAAAAAATAGTAATAAGTAAGCAAGTGAATAAGTATACAAAAGGTAGTAAATTGGCAAGCAGTTTTACATGAATGATAACAAAATATGTGATAATTTAATGAGTAAGAATACACATGAATAGGTAAGTAATTAAATAATACGGGAGTTAAGATTAGGAGTACATTAGTAAAAATACTAAAAAAAAATACAGATATTTGATTAATTACATGTACAATAACTAAGTGCACAAGTACAAACAGATAATGTAAGTAAAGCAAATTATTCTCTTCAAGTTCTTAAAAACACAAACCAGTGAAACACCTCTTTTTCAGGAGGGAGAAACTACATGCATGTCCTTTGGGCATACTGCTTTGCTGAGCATCTTCTAATACCACATTGTTGTTCCTTTCTTGACTATCTCAAAATGTCTGGATCTGTTTTGTCTAGTTAAAGGTGACTATCCTTCTCCGTCACTGCCAGTTGTTTCAGTTTGGACAATCTACTGAGTGCAAATAGCAATGACAGCTTGAAGCCCAATTTTCTGTCTTCACCGTGTTCTCAGATTTATTTGAGATAAAGTGCTAACTGGGGGGGTCTCCTTGTCAGTCTAACTCCAGTAGATTGCATTATGTTGAAAATTATTCTCTGTGATGAGTCCAAAAATATTGAAATATTATCTCATGTTCGCTATATTCAAGGAAATAGCTAACAACCTCCAAACTCATCATTAAGAACCAAAGAAATTCAAATGTTTCCAACAATGTAAGTAAGTTTAATAATGGTGAACCTTAGCTATTGATCTCAGTCCTCTTGATGAGAAATGGAATACCACTTGTTGTTCTTGTGATTGTATGTAAATAAATGAACATAAAATCATTATGTGTGTACTTTGGTGTTAAAAGGGATTTTAAGGGCAAGTGTTGGGAAATAATTCTGGAAATTGCATAATTCATGACCTACTTAGAATAATAGTCCATGAAATATTCATCAGGTAAATTACTTATCTGCGTACTCTGGTTTCGTTGTTTTGTTCAGTGGAGGAAAGGGCACCAGCGGGGACCGAAGCGAGAACACATTGTTTTTCCATTTCCTTTTCTCAACTGTGGCAATGACTCAGACTCTACCTGTTAATTATCACTGAAAGAGGAAAAATCAAATAGTGTCTCGCCATTATCGTGTCTTTTGAGAAAAAGACCTTAAACACAAAAAAATTCTGTTTTGAATGCACATGTTATACACCCACATGCATAAGCGCCTACTGACTGAACACTGGCTTCCCGTTCTGACAGCTTTTGCGCCGCAAACAGAGCAAAGCCTTCAAAGGGGCTACTCAGGTGTTTTATAATTGCAGCCATACGAAGTAGAAAGATTACACGGTTTAAAGATGCTGCCTCTACACATCAAGGCAATTTGACTTCTGCAAGCTCTTCACCCATTCGTGTTCACATTAAAGCCTCCATACTGCAGCATTAGAGGTGCATTAACACCACTGATCAAAAGATGGTGGTCAGGGATTTGTTGGTACATCAAACAGCAGGAGAAAGAGGGAAGGAGGTAATTTCAGAGAGAAGTCACACACGGGCTGTGTTGTGTTGTTATTAGGGTTAATATTTGCATTACTACACCGTGCTTTCTTCCTTTGCCATAATCCTGGTATCTCTGGACTACAAACATAAAAGTACACATGCAGCCCAGGAACCTGAGCACACATGCAAACAGATGATTAAAAGAAGTCGCTCTCGCTGAAGAGAAGTTCCTTCCCTCGTCTTTGTTGCAGGCAATCGTACATGTCAAGTTTGACCCAGTTAATCAAAGTGTGCGTATGGAGTGTCAGAGGAAAGATTCGGGGGCGTCACTTTTTGATTCTCAACTTTTCTTTTCAGCAGCCAGAGAGCTTAGCTTTTCACAGATCCACACTGCAGCTAACTCTGCAGAGGAAAGAAGTGTTTTTTGCGTCACTCGCAATAACACATAAAGTAGCAGAGAAACACAATGTCACATTCCCCTCAGATGATGAAACTCATACTGGAAAGAGGTAATGGCATTTAGCCCCGTAAAAAGGACTGTGTTGTGCATCATGCTTTTGCCATTCATTTGTTTAGTGGATTGATTCTGGTTGCAGTTAATTTTACACTTTTCTTGCCAGCTAAAGCTCCTGGAACCTCCCCTGTCTGATCCAACTATTCTCTGCTCCTGCAGAGCTGTGCAGAAATAACACGAAGAGTTATCTTTGCACATGCACACAATCTGTTGATGTAACCCCTCACTTGGCTTCACTTCAGAAAGCATTTGATCGTAATAAAATGCTAGATTTACAGCACTAACTTTTTGGTGTATTATTCTTTCTATCTCACGGTTTCCAAGTTCTCCTAAAAAAAAAAAAAACTGACAGAAATGACTTCTTTCCTATCTTTCTTTGTGACAATATGCAGCATTGTCTGGCTTGTCCTGTTTGCTCCTCGGGTTGATTGATACACTGAGAGAATCACACAGCTGGAAAGGAGGCAGTAAACCAAACGAGGGAACAAAGAGTAGTGGGCCACACGGGGTGCAGCAATTAAGCTGTTTTCTTGTTCTTAATTAAAAGTGAATTAGAGACTGCGACAGGAGTTGCTGTCTTGCCTTATTTGCTGGCAGCTTCCATGTCTTGCTGCACCTGTTGTCGTACATCCACTCATCCTTTACTCATCCTGTGTTCTTTCTGTTTCTTTTCGCTATCCTCCTCAGGGACGGAGAGGAAAGCCGGGGGAGCCTGGACCAAGAGGCCCACCTGTAAGTGAGCTACCATAGCAACACTTTTTAGAAACTTCTAATACTTTCACAGAATAAATGGATTTATAATTATCTGAAAATGTATGCAAGCGGACTACATTTATTAAATATCTGAAATGTTAGCAGTATGAAGGGCGCTTAACACAAATGCAAGCAAGTGTATTTTAAACTCTTGTATCATTTTACATCTAAACACTTAGGTTGGTCAGTACATTGATTGCCAATAATTCACATTAAAGATTGCGGTTGTGACGTTGCAACATCTGAAAAAGTTCAAGAGGTATGGACATTGCAGCAATATGGCAAAGTGACAAAAGAAACAACATTTTCTGTGCACGGTTTAAAACATGTGCTAAGTCTTTCCATGCTTATTGATCTGTTTGAAAAGTTACTGCACAAACAGACGAGTCTTTGCACAAAACCCCAAAAGGTATTTTAAGGTAGCACTAGAATGTGTTTGTATTGATGAGTAGTGCAAATGTGTCTCATAGACCAATTGAGTCTTTGAGTTATGGTCCTTTCCTCAGGTGTCCAAAACAATCTCAGATGGTGTGTGTGCGTGTGCGTGTGTGTGTGTGTTGGGAGGGTGATTGGGGGGGGGCTGAGGTATGTGTGTGTGTGTGTCTGTGTGCTTATGTGGTAACCCACTGACTAAAGGGCACAAACAACAGTGAGCATTAGAGGAGACAGCTTGTCAGACTCTTACCTGCTGATGTCAGAACAAACAGGAAGGTCTAGCTATTGTGTAGCTCAGATACATTGAGTGTGCAATTATTTTCAAGCACGACTTCCTTGATTGCACTATCAAGGCACTATTAGGGGTTGTCTTTATCTCATTGAGAAATAAAGAGACACTCTGTTCTGATTTTACTGTCAGTGTTGCAGTTCAGTTGTTTTGGATATAATTGAGCTACTTAATGGTAAATCTTTAAAGCATAACTGAGTGTGTCACCTACTTGCTTAATAAATCTTAGTCTTTTTGGACACAGAGTTGTGGGAGATTAAAATGACAGAACAGAGGTGTGACATTTCTAAATGGCAATGTCCTCGTGATGCCCTCCACATGTGTCAGATTAACTCCCATCCACTGGTATTGGCATTTATTATGGTCACCTGTTTTTCTGAGGTTGATATCAGGGGTGAAATCTTGTATTCAAAACACACTATGGGACATCACTCTGCTTTGTCCAGTGGCAGCAGGACATTGAGGGCATTCAAAGGGGGTCAGTGTTAGCTTTCAATGTCACGTTAGCATAACATAACAACCATGGTGTGTGTCAGAGGGGGCATGACTAAGCCACAATCCAAATTTACCTGCAGATGACCAAGGTCCAGCTGTGTTATTATTTGACTCAAAACTAGTGCAAAGGTTAGAAAATATAATAAACAACTGCAAAGTGGATTACTTCCAACTAAATATCTAATTTAGAATAACAAATAACTTTCTGCTATCCATTAGATCATTCATGTGATTATCCTTTGTGGGTTTATTTTTCCTACAGGGTCCTTCAGGAACCATAGAGGGAGCAAGTGCAAAGGTAATATCTAAAATGTTATCGCAAAACAAACTTGATGCATTTAAAGTTATTAATGATGATATCTGGACATTTTGCAAATGATGTGATGGGTCCTGAAAGCTAAGCTGTGTACATACATCTAAAACCAGTGTAGGTGGGAAATTCACCTACACTCTATAAAAATAATTTTCTGACTCTGTGACATTAAAATAGAATTAACTTTTAATGTTTTAGGTATATTAGGATTACTAAAATATTTTTCACTAGATAGTACATTAATAAGTGGGAGAGAGGTTTAACAACTTTCTTCAAAGTCAGAGATTTACATTTATTTATATTTTTATATGTGGAATAGCATTACCTTTTAAACTCCATGACTTTGGTCAAACATCCTCAATGTTCTTTCACAAACGTCTCACAGTAGCTTATTGGAAATTTGTCCTCTGTGTCCGAGTCAGGTTATACATTTGCTGGCATTCTGCTCTGCCAATACATTTTATGTGGGATTTAGATCAGCACTTTTTGATAGCCACTACAAAACATTGACTTTTTCTTCCTGAAAACCACTTTATAGCCAATTTGCTTGTGTGCTTAGGACCATTGTCCATTTGGAAGACCCATTTGTGCCTGATCTTTAACGTCCTTCATGATGTCTTGAGATGTTCCCCCCCTTTTTTTTTTTTTTTTTTTTTTTTTTGCATCATGTCCTTTTCTCTTGGTGCTATGTATTTTGTGAAGTGCCCTGGTGCACCCACACAACATGATGTTGTCACACCTGTACTTCACAGTCTGGATAGTGTTCAAATGCTTACAAGCTTCCCACTTTTTCTCCAAATTCAATGATTCTCACTGCGTTCAAGCACCTCTATTGCAGCCCCATCAGAACACAGGACAAGTCTACAAAAATGAACGTCCTTGTTCTCATTGCATTCTTTTCTTTGTCCTATGACGTTCATATGGTGCACATTTCTTATCGAGGCATGTTCATTTCTGGGACACAGACCCTGTTTCCTTCCTGCATGGCGTGATGGCTGATGGCTGGATATAAGCTATACACTTGTTGCCCCTCTAAGCCAGCACAGACAAGCCAGATGTATGTAAAAGGACAGCAGAAGGATCTCTTTTGTCCATGACTGACACCTTTTTGGGTTAATAGTCAGGAACAGATCTCCCTCGTCAGAAATGGCACCGCTCAGTGAGTCGAAGCGTATCTGCTGCAAGTTAAATAGCTGCTCCCAGCCTGTGTGCCTCCTGCAGTACAGCACAGCATGACTCAGTGCTCACACTCCAAACTGACAGATGGCCATTACATACCGTACTTTTGCAAGAAAAAAAAAAAAAAAAGAAAAAAATCTGCAATCATTTTCATGATGCCCAGGGGTGTTTTGGCTCACCAGCAGCACATGAGATATGGATTGTAAGATTTAAAAATAATAAACACAAAAATGCTCAGATATGCACCTCTGTCATGCTCCCTACAAATTTTCGCGCAACATGCTACCTTCGCCGATACACCTACAAACCACCCGCTGCCCACCAAGCCTCCAGTGGCAAATACTTGTGATCACGCTGAGAGTGGAAGCCATTGTGTAGTGGACAACCTCTTGACCACTCCTACTCATCAGGTGTGTGGATTCATCACTCGTTCCTGTATACTGCAAAGCTTCCACTGGTCCTTCTGTCTAGAGGAAGGGGAAGAGTAAACTGGCTAACACTGACAAAGATGATTACCATTAAAAAGAGAAAATTAAACAACAAAAAGACATCATGGCCTGGTTATTGTGACTGTAGAGTTATTGTACATCCAACACTCTCCATCTCAGTACCCTGTCACCTGTAGAAGAAAAAAAGCTTGATGTTTTAGAAATCACTTATTAGTTCTTTACATTTGCCCCATCCAAAACAGCAAGACAAAAAAAGAGAGACCCTGTTAGATAGAAGCTTTATTGGTCTTCTTTAAATGAAATGTAAAAACAGTACATGTGCAAGATGTGTAAAGCTAACTCATTGTAGCATTAGCAAATGGTAATTCGATTATTTTATTAAAAATCCATAAGGGTGTAAACAACTTACTGTGACTCAGTTACTTCAAATGAATTCAGAGGCAACGCTGAATAATATCTGCTGGTGACGACGCCTGCAGGAGTCTAAAACTTCCCAGATAATATTAGATCAAATCTAATTTTACGAAAAAGACGGAAAAATATTTCCGTATTTTCTTTAATACCTGTTACATATGTTAGCAAAAATGTCCTGAGCACCAAGCACTGAGAATTGTCTTTTAATTCTTACAGGATGCATGTAAATGCAAGCTCTTCCCTGGCTATGAATAAGTCATGCCCCTACATCATGGTTGCATTTTTACTGTAACATTATAAATTTATGTTTTGGGCACACAACAATGAAAACACTGTCCCAGAGAAGAACATTTCAATTTGTTATGATGAAAACAGTAAAGCTGGTCACATTCAGACATTTACAAAGGCCGAAACGGTAAGTGAGAGAAGATGCACTAAACACTTTGAAGAGGAAACACGTTATGATAGGCAGCAATAATTAAACAGCAGTCCTCAGTGCCCTTTCTTTTACATTTTTCAGTCAGGATGAAATAGATTGAAGTGAGACCAATGCTGCTGCTGCTGCTGCTGCTGGTGGTGTAGTGTCTGTGTGAACTGAGGCTCCTCTCATTCCCTCAGCAGAGTGTGAATGTTTTAGGAAGAAAAGATGGAAGAAGAGATCTGCTGTGCAGGATGTGCTGGAAAAGTCAACGTCTTTGTGAATTACATCTCCATAACTGTGCCTTCCCGCCCCCCACCGACAGTCTCAAATGGGCTCTGACAGCACTCTGCAGACATTGACAGAGAGAGTGATGCCGACAGTCTTAATTGCAGTTTGATGACTCTGGGTGGCTCAAAGTCAACACATCACCCACAGTCAGCCACAGGTGGAACAGTTCCCTGGGCTTTATCATTGTGTAAATACAGCAGTAATCTACATAAACACTGACCGCGCTGCAGTTAATCTCATTTGAAAGGTTTATTCACTTGTTACGTGGTCCTCGGCTAGTAAATTGACTGTGAATGATGTTCTGTGTAGATCTAACTGAGATAACGAGAGAAGTATGGAGCTTTGAGTCTGTGACAGAATGCAGCGCGCAAGTTTTTTTCACAACAGGTGACATCCCGGGTAATTCCAACTTTCCATTAGGTATGATTTACGTTGAGTGTCAGTCATAACTCAGTGCAAACTGCCTCCACGGTGGCAAATCACTTTCAGTGTATAGCGTAGCATGGACAAAACAGTTCAAGAAACAAGATAGGGCAATATTTATACACAATTGTGCCTTTTTTTTAATGATGGGATTCAAAATAAAGGTGGAGAATGTGAAAATAGTTGAAAGATTAGTTTCTTTACAACAAAAACACATAATGGTTTCAAATTGGCATATAATGTTCTTTTTCAGTCTTTTTACAAAAGACTGAACAGGCTGGGAACACAAATAACCTTGACATGCAACTTACAAATGTATTGTTTAGGAACAAACAAGTTAATAACATAAACTTGCATAACAGCAAGACTAAGAGTCTACTTAAGTGAGTTAATGGTCCACATTGACCATATACTTAATACTAAATCAGCAATCTTTCAATTGTATGAATAAAGTTACTCTTTCTGCTAAAATCACTGCCATATCGGTAGTTCAATAAGAAGTCTAGTTTGCCTGTGTCATCATAAAAAAGCTTTGGACCCTTTGCTTTAAAAATAAAATGCAAAAACCAAAAGGTTGATCAATTTAGTGGTAAAACTTTTCAGTTTGAATCTGCAAAATATATAAATAAATAAAAAACGCAAAAATCAAGGTCAAAGTAATTCCCACTTTTAGGCTTTCATGCAGTGAGTAGCTTTAAGTAAGAAACATCTAGAGCTGAGCCAGTATGTTTTCAAAGAACATTTAAAAACATTAGTATTCACAGATGTAAAATTTTATATAAAGTTAATTTACAATTACAAATAGGGCTTGCATTCTTAATCTCTACATCAACCACCTACAACAAAGTTGTAAAGTTGTCTTGTGATTATAATACATGTGGTTGCTGAAGCTCTTCAGAATTCAATTAAATCTTATAGTCAGAGTTTCTGCTAGTCCCTCCTCCTCGGCTGAAATATTAATAAGAGAGTCCATCTGTTCATATATGCCAGCAGTCCGCTGACTTAATAACAGCTCCTAATTTGGATGAGGAAACAGTGACTATATCTCATTAAAAGAGCAGTGCAGTATTACTGTGGTTGTCATAGTCGAAGGAATGGGGGAAGGGAAACTCAAAGCTCTCTGGTATCATCTGTCTTGGAGCTGCAAAGGAGTGAGCAAATACATGTCATTCTTTCGCTCTCCTCACATCTCTAAACATATGCTCCATAATGTCTCCAGAGTGTCTGAAACTATCCCTGTAAATATTCTCACACATGTAAAACAAAGCAGCAATGTTTGTTGATCTACCTGCTGCTCAAGCTAAAGTATGATTGGAAATCACAGAATAGCAGGCATGGGCTGGTTACTGGTATCAAGAGACACAATGGTTTCGCAAATTATGGTTTCTAAAGTATTATAATCTACGTTATGCTGTACAGTTCCCATGTTTAAAGCACTTCTGTTAAGATGCTGAAGAAAACAAGAGTGAGCAGAGTAGCACATTGCTGCCCCTCCACCTTTTGTTGCTGCACACTGCTGGAATACATTAAAATAAAACTAGAATACATCATAGTCATGGTGTCTAAGCTAAAGGAGCATTCAGCTTCTACGCACCAAAAGTCTGGAACAAACTTCCAGAAAACTGCAAAACAGCTGAAACACTGAGTTCCTTTACATTAAGACTAAAATCCTCACCTGTTTAGAGTTGCCTTTGAACCATAATAAATGAACCACTGACCAACTTATTTGATGTGCATCAATAATTTTGGTGATGGCACTCATCAAAATATAATGTTTATTTCTGGTTTTCTCAGTTGTTGGCTGTATGAAGTTGTATATGACTTTGTATTTTTTGTTCTTTTTTTATGACATGAAGCTCTTTGAACTGCGTCGTTGCTGAAATGTGTGAAAT